CAGCGGCGGGTGGTGGCGGGTGACGAAGTGCCCGTGGCAGAAGCACACGTGGGTGGGGAAGCAGCCGTTGGCGCCCTCGGGCGCGAAGTTGGGCGTGAAGAGGAAGGCCTTCCAGACGGAGGAGCCTGGGTGGACAAGGGCAGAAGGAGGGGTCACGGGGGAGGGACGGGAGGGTCACCACCAAGCAGGACAGGCACAGAACCCCGCGGCCCCGTGCGTAGGCTGGGGAGCGCTCGGCATTCAGGCGCGGGCGAAGCGTGTGGCGAAAAGAGGAAGCAGCATGGCTTAGAAAGAGAGACCCAGCCCGAGGTCCCGGGTTCGAGTCCCGGTCAGGGGCACATGTCCGGGTTGTACCCTCGATCCCCAGTAGGGGGCGTGCAGGAGGCAGCCGATCCGTGATTCTCTCTCATCATGGATGTTTCTCTCTCTCTCCCTCTCTCCCTCCCCCTGTCTAAAATAAGTAAAAAAGAAAATATTTTTTTAAAAAAGAAAACTGAAACCTGTCTTTTTTCCTAAGTTGACAAATTTTGTTGCTTTCTACTATTTAAAATATTTATTTGTTTATGTACTTACTTTTGCCTAATCCTCCCCCGAGGATATTTTTTCTATTACTCGAGAGAGTGGGAGGAAGGGAGCCGGAAGGGAGGGGGGGGGAGAGAGGGAGGAGAGAGAGAGAGAGAGAGAGAGAGAGAGAGACATTGATGGGGTGCCTCCCACACGAGCCCCGACCAGGGCCCAGGCCAGGGAGGAGCCTGCAACTGAGGTGCGTGCCCTTGACTGGAATCGAACCTGGGACCCTTCAGTCCACGGGCTGATGCGCTATCCACTGAGACACACCGGCCAGGGCAGAACGACACTGTCACTCCAGCCCCATACACGTTCCAGCCAGGATGTGTCCAGCGGGCACGCGGCACGTTCACGGTGACGAACAGATTAAAAGCTCACGGTTCCTCCCCCTCCTTCCCTCCAGGGTTTTAAACACACAGCCTGGGTTTCTGCTGAAATGAGACAGGAGGAACAGCGAGGCTCCCAGCTGGCACGGACCATTGCAGGCACACACACACACACATGCACACACATGCACATGCATGCAAACACAGTTGAATGCACGGGTGCATGCATGTGCACCAAGGCACATGTGTACACATACCTCACACATGCACATGTGCATGCACATGTGTACACATACCTCACACATGCACATGTGCATGCACATGTGTACGCAGGTGCACACACCTGCACAGGTGTACACACAGCACAGAAATGCATGTGTACATACATATGTACATACAAACATGCACATGCAAATGTACGCATGCACACATGCATATGCATGTGCTCACAGTTGAATACACAGCTGTGTGCACACATGCACATGTGTGTACATAGCTGGTACATGCACGCGTGAACATATGCACGAGATGCACACACACATACACAGCTGCACACATGTTTGCATGCACAGAAATGCACACATTTACCCAGATGCACACATGTTTACATGCATGTAAGCATGTGTACACAGATGCACGTACACACATGTGCAACCACACACACGCACACGCAGCCATCGAGAACAATCTCACACACACAGCACCTCACTTAGCATCTCCTCAGCCTTGAGGACGCCCCAACGTATCCGATCCACACATGCAGGGGTCTGGCGAACAGAGGTGATCTTTGGGGTGAAGGAGACACCCTAACACAGTGGTTCTCAACCTTCTGGCCCTTTAGATACAGTTCCTCACGTTGTGACCCAACCATAAAATTACACTGCAATGTTGCTACTGTTATGAATCGTCACGTAAATATCTGATATGCAGGATGGTCGTAGGCGACCCCTGGGAAAGGATCGTTCGACCGCCAAAAGGGTCGAGACCCACAGGTTGAGAACCGGTGCTGAGAGGCTGTGACTAGACGCGCAGAAGGCCACCCATTCAGTGAACATCGCCGAGCGGGAACGGCCCGGTCTGGGTGTCTCAGCTTCACGAAGGCCCCGCACACCCCAGTCGGGGGCACGCACGGAGCACGGAGCCCGGAGCAGGGCGGTCACACTGTGCTGCCCCTGTGAGCTCTGGGTCCCAGGCGATCCCCGCACACGGACATTGTAGACGGAGATGCCTCGACGGTGAAGGGGTTAATTTCCTGAGCCCCCCACCACGTTCTGACGCTCTGGGGAGCTGACTGCTCCTCCGACAGCCCCTGACAGATACGAGTTCCCACAAGTGCTTTTGGGTCTGAAAACGTAGCAGATAAACACACAAAAATAAATTAAAACAACCACCACCACCACGGAGAACAAATGTGGGCCGACGGCCGCTCAGGACAGAAGCTGATGTCCTAGCTCACGTTCTCCTTACTGATTTTTTAAAAAATTGGTTTCAGCCCTGGCCGGTGTTGTTCAGTGGTTAGAGCATCAGCCTACGGACTGAAGGGTCCCGGGTTCGATGCCGGTCAAGGGCACGTACCTTGGTTGCGGGCACATCCCCAGGGGGGGTGTGCAGGAGGCAGCTGATCGATGTTTCTCTCTCATCGATGTTTCTAACCCTCTATCCCTCTCCCTTCCTCCGTGTAAAAATCAATAAAATGTATTTTTTTTAAAAAATTGGTTTCAGCGAAGAAGTGAGAGGGAGAGAAAGAAACATCATCAACGAGGAGAGAGAATCATGGACCGGCTGCCTCCTGCACGCCCCCTACTGGGGACCGAGCCTGCAACCCGGGCATGTGCCCTGACCGGGAATCGAACCTGTGGCCTCCTGGCTCACGAGCCGACACACAACCACTGAGCAACACCAGCCGGGTTCCTTACTGATCACAATAATAAAAGGCTAATATGCAAATGGTCGTCACGCCGTGACGCTTAACGACCAATCCGCAGGGACCTGAGGCTGCATGGAGTCTGGCTGGGCTGGGGGACCTCAGGCTGCGCTCCCCGCCCATCAGGGCTTAAAGGGAGTGGGGCCGGCCGGGTCTGGGTCTCGTGCGATTTTGAGGCGCACGTGGTGGGCAGGGACTTGACTCGGTCCCATGGCGTGCCCCAGACTCTGACGGGAGGGGGATTTTTATATGCATTTGACTAATTTCCTTTCATCTATGACACTTCTATTATAGAGAAAGGGCAGATAGCCATATTAACATATTTCCTCTAATTAATTCCCTTTTGATGTGCACAAATTTCGTGCACCGGGCCACTCGTTTTTACACAAGATTGTAGCATTTCACCCCCTGGCAACCTCACACACCTAATTCACTCTGATGGTCCATGTGTCTCCTGCAATGGTGACATGTATAATGATAGATATTTAGCGACCAACCGCCTGACCCAAATACGAAATGAACCTATAGACTAAGCTACAAGCGATTGTCACAGGAGCGTGCGCTGTCCCCCACAGCCTCTGACCTCACCCACGCTTATGCCCGGGAACCTGGCCTCGTGGACACGCCCGGCTGCAGGAACTATTCCCGGGCACGGTGCCCGTCTGCGGCAGAGTTTCAGAGGACTGGGCAGCCCGGCCGGCGTGGCTCCGTGGTTGAGTGTTGACCTATGAACCAGGAGGTCAGGGTTCAATTCCCGGTCAGGGCACATGTCCGAGGTGCGGGCTCCATCCCCTGTAGGCGGCGTGCAGGAGGCAGCCGATCCGTGATTCTCTCTCATCATGGATGTTTCTCTCTCTCTCTCCCTCTCTCTTCCTCTCTGAAATCAATAAATATATATATAAAAAAATTTTAAAAGCCCTGGCTGGTTTGGCTCAGTGGATAGAGCATCACCCCTCAGACTAAAGGCTCCCGGGTTCAATTCCGGTCAAGGGCACGTGGGAGTCTCGGGCCCCCTCGCCCGGGAGGGGCGGGCGCTGGCCGCGTCGGACACGCGTGGAATGGAAATCACTGTTTCCGAAGAACCGTCTGGGAGCTAGGTACAGGCGTTTGCCTTTTTCGTCTTCTAGTTTGGATTATTTTAAATTTAACTTAATTTAATTTTTTTTAATTGATTTCAGAGAGAAAGGAAGAGGGAGAGACAGAGCTAGAAACATCCATGATGAGAGAGAATCATGGATCGGCTGCCTCCTGCACGCCCCCCACTGGGGATCGAGCCTGCAACCCGGGCATGTGCCCTTGACCGGGAATCGAACCCAGGGCCCTTCAGTCTGCAGGTTGATGCTCTATCCACTGAGCCACACTGGCCAGGGCTCTACTTTGGATTAGGTAGAATAGGGAAGCTGTCAAGTCAAGTCAGCTCAAAACAAAGTTGTGGTTTGCAGGCGGGGCCTGCACCATCTCTTCCGTTCATATAAGCTGGCAGGATGTAGAAACAGGATCCCAACTCAGCCACTGCGTCAGAGAACCAAAATATTTTGCTTTGACTTTCTAGTCTATTAAGCTTAGGGTTTGGCAGGATCTGTGTCTAAAGTGAACTCAAGACCTTGTAATCAGAATATCAATAGAACTGCCCTAATTCTAGAAAGAAAGCAGTTTTTGGAGGGTGTGGAGGAGATAGAGAAGCTGAACTGGAGGTAAGATAGCAATAATAGCAGCTAATATTTTTAACTATTTTCTATATGCCACATAAGCACTGAACTTTACTAATCTCATTTAACCCTCAAAATAAATGAGGGGTAAGGATGATTATTATGCCCATTTTACAGATCAGAAAATTGAAGCATTAGAGAGATTAAATAATTTGCCCAAGTCACTCAAATGGTAAACAACAGTCAGGTTTAAAATCCTGGCTACTGGCTCCAGAACTGATACCCATAGTCACTATGCTATGAATCATCTCACTATCTAAAATCTGGTAATAGAGCAGCATTCTGTAATTACAACATGATAACATACAAAGCATTAGATATTATGGGTCAACTATGAGAACCAGACAGGACTTGGGGGACACCAAGTTTAAAAAGAGAAATAGCTCTGGTGTCAGACAATCATGAGTCATGAAGACAAATCCCTGTTCCACCTACCTCTAAACTATGTAGCCTTGCAAAAATGCCCTCACCTCACTGGACTTCAATTTCCCTTTCTGGAAAAGGGATCTCAATACCTGCCTCTGAAAGTTACTGTGGTACCTGGTAAGTGCTAGATTAGTCAGGTTCACGTCATTCAGGCATCAGACCAAATGTTGCCT